AGAGAGAGAGAGAAAGAGGGAGAAATGGGGAGAGAGAGAGTATGTATGTGTGTGTGCGTGTGTGTGTATGTGTGTGCGTATGTGTGTGTGTATGTGTGTGTAATATAGGCTAGGCTGACTAAGCTGATATCTCACACGTGAAATATAAAAATTTGCATAAATTACTCCGCGCACTAGATCTAGGCCTATATTCGCCTTCTACTTTTATCCCTCTGTGTAAGCTAAGCAAAGTAAGCCTAGCCTAGATCTAGATATATCTAAATCTAGACTACATCTAGATTTTAAATCTAGATATCTAGATCTAGTAAAAACTTAAAAACTTCGCTGCAAAGCGCGCTCACCATGGGAAACCAAACAGTAGTCTCCCAGTCTCGCTGTCCCTTATAGTCGAGTATAGCACGTTTGGAAATTATTTTTTTTCCGTCCAGACATTGTAGCAGCACACCAGATAAACACAATGGGTGGACAGTGGACAGTAGATCTAAAAAAAATTTAAATTAGATCTAGATCTAGATCTATCTACAACACAACTAAATAAATATTAAATAGCACCACTTAGATCTGGATCTAGACTCTCGGTCCAGGCCTAGGCCTATACCAGCTTGAATAATGAATTGATCATGAAAAATTAACAAAGTTTTGAAATTTTATAGTCACTTTATCAAACATTAAAAAACCCCACTCTAGAATGGATCCTATTGTCCAATTATTGACGGGTCTTTTTAACTTTGTTGGTACGGATGTACTTTGCCAGCTGATATCAGTATGGTATAAAAAATTTATTACACTCGTTGTGGTATTAGACCATGATTTATCCTACTTGTGAAATTGCCAGTTGGAATCAGTCGTTGAAACTCTTGATTACAACTTGGCAATTTCACTCGTAGGATAAATCATGATCTTACACCACAACTCATGTAATAAATTATTTTTATTTCTTCTTCAGTGAATAAAAAACAAACAAGAGATCATGAACGTTTTGAGATCTTATTAAGTTACTGTAACACCTTTTCCCATTTAGGAACGAAGTAATTTCATTAAAAAGCTTAAAGATAAACAAATATTTTACTTGATCG